GGAAGGTTTTAGCAGAGAGGATCAAAGGTTGTGGTAAAGTTCAGGGAGTCCTGACTTGTTCAAGCTAACACCATCCCTTCCTTAGTTCTTCCTTTGTTCCCTCTCTTTTCTCTTTCTTTCATTTTCTTTACACAGTACTGGGGATTGAATCCAGGGTTTTTGCACCAAGCTATATCTTTGGCCTTTTTGCTTTTATTTTTGAGACAGGGTTTCATTAAATTGTTAAATCTCCCAGACTGGGTTGTAACTTATGATCCTCTAACCTCAGCCTCCCAGAGTGGTGGAATTGCAAGTATGGACCACCAAGCCCGGTCTCTAGTTGTGCTGAGGGGCATGAAGGCTCCTGATCTTCCACAGAAGCACTGTCATTGCTGGTGCTGACATAACTATAACCACCAATTACCCTCCCCCCCATTTCCCCTGAGTTCAAATTGGAAGAGAGAGCCCTTGACTAACAGATTTATATTCATATTTTCTTCGGGTATCAGGACTGGGAAGAAGAGGCTTACTTATCTTCTATGGTACCAAAAGACAACTCCTTAGGAAAAAAAATTTAGGCAACGCATATGTGAAAAAAAATTTATTGGTTTAATGCCCAATATAGAAAACAAAACAACCTCTTAAAAGAATAATTGAAAATGACAGAATGACTGGTATAGGGGCAAGAATTTAAGCATTACATTTTAAGTGTATTAAAATACCTGCAGAGTAACACAAATTGTTTTATTTTTATCACAGCATTTCTCAGTTACATGAGATTAATTAAGAGTTGATTACTGAAAATTGATATGCAATTATAATAATGTCCATAATTATGTCAGGATAATTAACCATGGCAGATCTTTTTTGCAAATGCATTGCTCTATTCGTAGTTTTAGTAATAAAACTATTGATAGGACTTTTCTCATTGGCTCTAGAATGAAGTTCATCATGAGAGATTCTTAATTCTTTGTTCTTTTAAACCAATGGAATTTGAGTGGTAACGTACATTTTCATACCATATAAACGTTCAAGGAAAAAATTTACACATTTCTAAAACATGTTAATAGACAAAGTTTTTACTATAGAATGGTATACTTTTCAACTGTTTAATATTCTCTATACTTAACACTTATAGGGGCTGGGGATTTAGTTTAGCGGCACAGTGCCTGCCTGGTAAGCGCAAGACAGTGGGTTTGATTCCCGGTACCGGAAAAATACCGAAAAAAAACACTTGTAATCTATAGCTAAACTTTCTTATTTGTCTCCTAATCCTAATCCAGTCCGGTATCTACACTGCAATGCCCCCACACCAGGAGGACATGATGGCATGCCATTTTCAATCCTCCATATTGATCAAAATAATACTCTGCTCAGTGTTACACAAAATACAAATCACCTTAATGAGTCTCCAAAAATATTGTGCTCACTTAACTATTTCTGGTTTTTATGTCTGGCTTGGAGTCCTCCTCCAACCATCTCAGTAGGTCCAGTCCCACTGGAAAAAAATATTTTGTGATAAAGAAAACACATACACCTAACTTTTAATATGGTATATTGTAATAATTGTTCTGTAATAGTTTTATTATTGTTGTTATTTCTTACTGTGCATAATTTATAAGTTAAACCAAAACCCTTATAACCCTTTCAGCCCTTGTAGAATGAATAGTGGTGTATCTGCTTTCATTCCTGACATTGGTTATTTTAGTCCTTTTATGTACATTTGTATATATGTATTTATTTATTTAGTTTGGTCAGACAAATAAAAGTTTGTCAATTTTATTGATCTTTTCAAAGAACTAGCTATTAATTTTCATTAACTGTCTCTTTTTCTATTTTATTGATTTCTGGTAATGATCACTATTTTCTCCCTTTTTTTTGATACAGGTGTAAGTGGAATTTCCTTTAAAAATTTTTAAGCCTAGATTAAGATTCTTTTTCTTTTCTCTGATAGGTGCTTAAAATAGTAAAATGTCTTTCGAATGTCTGTTCTACTGCAACTCATAAATTGCAAATTTTTCATTCAGTTCAAAATACTATCTGATTTCCTTTACTTCTTTGGCCTACAAGTAATTTAATTTTCAAATATTTTGAATTTTCAAACATCTTTTTATTGTTGATTCCTAATTTAATTCCATCATGTCCAGGTTATGTACTTTGTCTGATTCGAGCCCTTTTAAATCTATTGAGACTTGTTTTATGACCCACAATAGGGGCTATTCTGGAGCATATACTCTTTAAAAAGAACAGATTTTACTGTCATGATGTACAATGGTCTGCACTCATCAGTTGAGTTGGGAGTGTTCTTTGAAGCTTCTATATTCTTAGTTTTCTTTTTAGTCATCTTAGCCATTATTGAGAATAGGGTATAGAAGTATTAAGCTATTAATGTTTGTCTGTTTTTCTTTTCAATCAATTCTTTTCTTATTTGCAGTGCTGGGGGTGACGCTCAGTGCTTTGGGCATGCTATGTAAGCACTCTACCACTGAGCAATAGCTCCAGCTCCTCAGTTCTATTTAGGGTCGTTGCTGGGCACGTGTACATTTATCTTTTAACTCTCTTAGCAGTATAAAATATCTGTCTCTAGGAATATTTCCTGTCTTAAAGTCTATCCTGTCTGATATTAGCATTGCCACTACAAATCTCTCAAGGTTAACGTTTGCACAGCCTATCACTGCTAAGTTTTGTTGGCCTTATTATCACTATCATAATATATGATACAATTTTATGCTTTTATAAAAAGTTACTCTTGCAGTGCTTAATATGCAAGCTTTTCTATAGTGAGAAAACTACAAATTATTTCACTTTTATGGATTTTTGGTGCAGTTTGGGATACAACAACAATATTTGATTCATTAAAAGCAATTAGACATCCAAGTAAGTGCAAACACATTTTGCTTCATAGTATTGCTTCCTGATGTTCTTTGGCCTGCAGGTTAGATATTAGAATGTTCAGAATGACACTTAGCTACCTTTCTGCCTGTCCTGGATTTGTGAAATCTACAAAGGCTGTTCCCACAACTCCTGTTTCAAAGCAAGCATCGCATTTTAGGAAGACTAGTTTAAATCAGATGGCTTAATTTTAGGAATTGCTACCTCTCCTTCAAGCCTTTGATGAAACTTTAAAAATATTTTAGACCATTCAATACATGTCATATACTATGTGCAATGTCCACAGTGCTATCTTTTCTCATAATTAAAAGAGATACATACTTTTGAGCTTTTAGGAATCATTATTTACCAGGAAATGTAACCATTACGTGCCTTCCACGTGAAAAATACTTCTCTCTAGCATTGATTCTTTAGAATTTTAAAGACTGGTTCAGTGGAAGGAGTTTACTGACTGCCCAATTTGTTAATGTTTAAGATATGTGATTATTATCTAGGTGATATCTGACAATATAGACAGGACTTCAATAGGCACATTTCAACAGGAACTTTAAAAATTGTAGTCTGCTCAAAAAACCACATAGAGTAGAAGATCATTTTAAAATATTTTTTTCTTGTCCTCTCAAATATCTATGAAATTTTTACTGATATGTAAAATAGAATATAATTACCTAAATATATTACAAAATTATTGTATTGGCATTTCTGGATTTGTGAATCTCTTAAAATCACTGCTGTATTGGACATAATAAGGACAAGAAAAATGATGCAATTATAAAAAAAGTGTACTGAGCGATAGTAGATGTAAGATTAGCATTAATTGAATGGATGCATATAATCACGGATCGGGAGACTAAATGAGAACCTTTCCTTCTGAGAAGTAACATTTCTTTTTTCCCTAGGAATATCTATTTCTATAAGCAATTTACTTTGTTCCATTGTCCATTTGACTTTCCATTTCAAGACTGTAGTTCTTCACTGTCAAGTCTTTCTGATCAGTACACACACACACACACACACACACACACACACACGGTAACTTACATGGCTCAAGTAACGTACACCTGCAATTTGCTAACCCTGTTTTTTGTGACTTGAAAGTCCGATATACATAGTACATACAACTACAAATGAGCCCAATTTTCACTTAAATTTCAAGTCCAAAGCAAACATTTCTATGAAGACTTCCTGCAGCACCCAGTGACAGAAGATAAACGCTTCTGATGTAGGCAGTTTTTAACAGGCCGGCCAAACACGGCCGCTACAACTTTCAAGAAATAAAAAGCAGCATAAAACCATCCGAATTCAGAACCCTCCCTGGAAAATGTGCATCTTTCCCCTACTTCGTAGACTATTTCATGCCAAAAAATAGTTTCTTCACATCATGTGAAATAAACACAGCATTACAGTATTTAACGTAATCTGACGCCTGCAGATGAACATCACATGTGCTCCAGACTGAAGAAAACAAAACGGCATCAGACGATCGACGGACCAAAAACACCTAACCCCGAACACCGGACGGCCAAAGCGGCCGAGCAGGGGGCTCCGGGCCAGCAGCGCACCCGCGACCTCGCCTGGCTTGTCTACTCTGCGGCGCTGCGCTGAGCAGCTCCCCCGCGGCCTGCGGTGTCCTCCAGGGAGGAGTCTGCGGCTCCCACCCCCGGCTCCGCAGGCTCGCGGCGGAAAGGACCGCGTCTCCGCCACTGCGCCCGAGCCCGACGGCAGCGGGTCGCGGGCTGGGACCCGCTCGCCGCTTCTGCCCATGTCCGGCGCCTCGAGTGCAAGAGGCTGCTCCTTTGCTTTCCACATTAGAGGTGGCAAATTGTTATACGTGACAGACGTTTGTGCTGTTAGCCACGTTTCTAAAGGCGATCTGGAGCGTGGGTCAAGGACACAAGCCACCCTCCTCCGCCCCCAGGCGCCCTCATTGCCTCCTCCGAGCCTCAGTAGCTGCACCGGGCGCGTACAATGCGCATGCGCCGTACTCCGGCAGTCCCCTTCACATTGCTCCCTAGCCCCGCCTTCCCGCCGTTGGCAGCCGCCAGGGAGCTCCCAGGATTGACGTCTGTACGTGGTGACGCATGTGCGTACGGAGACGTCGGGACGCAGGCGGGCCGTAGACAGTGAGTTTCCGCGTTTGTTTAACCCGGCTGTGTAATTGGTTCTGCTACGTTTCTCGCTTGCTCTCCGGGCAGCGGGCGCCGGCGACCCGGCGGGGGCTGCGGGCCGGCACCTTCCGGGGAACCTGCGCGGGCCGGGGCTGGAAGGAGGCTCGGCCCCCACGCCCTGGGCACCTCCGCGGGTCCGAGAGCCGGAGCGCGCGTCCCCTGACCGCGGGAGCCTGTCCCTGGGGGCCCCTCACCGTTACCCCATCGTTGCTGCTGGGCGCCGGCCTCCCAGGGTCGCTGTGGCCGGGCGCCCTGAGGATGGGGCGGCTCTGAGGGAGTTTGGAAGGGTACTTTCGAAAAGAGGAAGTTTACAGCGACGTTGCATCAGCGACACACCCTGCAGTCTCAAGCCCTGAGGAGACTGTAACTTCTGTGACGTAACAAGTGTGTGTCAGACCCAACCCTTTAACCTCAGAAGTGGCGTTTCACTTAACACGGGACAGGAGATCACCTAAGCGAATTTGAGCGCTTTTTTGCTCATATTTTAAAACCTTTTGAAATAGATTTTCTAAAAGCGGATCACAGGCTCGTATGTTTTCCCAAAGTGAACATAAGCTCTTTTGAACACTTAGTTATTATGCAGGTGAATTATTGCATAGTTATGTTATTGCATAGTTAGGCTTCCCTTGTTGAGGTGTGTAGGACCCTTTCAGCACGCTCAGTGGCACTCAGACTTTTTAAAAATTCTGTGAATTGCTTTTAAAAAGTCTTCGTCTGATTTCTCTTTTTTCCTTTTCCTTTTTTCTAGTTCTGACAAACTTTAGAGGTTTGTTGTTTGCTGCTGGCCAGGCATAGATTGGGAGGACAAGTTATTTTTCAAAGGATGGTAGCAATGCAGTCATTCCTCAGTTGTTCCAGGACTACTAGGCTCAGCATTACCTCTAAACCTACTGGAATGCAAATTTTGGAATCTTTCCTCAGATATACTGAATCAGAGTCTTTGAGCAAGCCTCCAGTGGTCCTCATACACCTGGATGCTAATGTTGAAGAATTACTGACCTAGCACTAAAGAATACCCACTGTGAAGTCACAGATAATGGAATTTGAATTGAGTGTGGTAATAATAGAACCTTGGACAGATCCCTTAAATGGTACTTTATGGGACTGTAAATATTCCAAGTGAAGACTCAAGAAAATTGTTTAATACCAGTAAATACAAAACACTCAATGGTGAGATGTTAAAAATAACTTTCTAGAACTGTGTGAAGTAAGCATATAGATTATACTGGAAGCATTCTTTGTTGGATTCTTAGATGAATTTAATGCCCAGATGTGACCACTGCTTGAGGATGTTTTATCTGTTTACTTCCAGATTCAGTTGTATTCCAGATGGTGGAGTGTGGGGTGAAGGGTCCGTTAAAAGTTATACCAGTGTGTACTGATACTAATGCTGTTGAGGCTGCAGTGTTTTTAAAAATAGCCTTAGTGATCATGTTAGTATAATTTTTAATTCTTTGGTCCTGTGGTTCCTTCAGTTTAGTTATACCTTCTTTACCCAGGATTTAGTAAAGTCTAGAAGTAAGTACTAGCTGTAGAGATGAAAAGCACCGTTAGTGCAGTTGACTGCAAGCAAAGTCAAAGCTGACAGTGTTTCTGTCTCTTTATTTCTGTGTTGTACGGGTCCATCGTAGCAAGGAAGGCCGCATAGACACTTTCCAAGCCTTCGTTTTCCGGTAGGCTCACAGGAGTTATATGAGATATGCCCGTTGGATGTGGTGTTTTCTTACAACCATTCCTTTTCTCTTTAAGGGGTTGTTATAGGGTACAAAGAGAAATACATATTCAAGATCTGAAGCTGCTGCCCTAAAGCCTAGCTTCATTGCAGTGTTGGAAAGGGTCAGTGCCAATCTGCAACCTGCGCAACAAATCACTTTGATTGCAGAGCACTGTTCCTAAAGCCACACATGGCTCTCATATTGTGTGTGATAGTTCTCAGATAAAGCTTTAGGTATCAAGTTCTATAAATAATTTTAACCCTCTTACTAAATCAACACTGTCCCATCATGAAACATTCATTGTTTCAAAGGCCTAAGCATTGTTCTCCATTTTAAAAAGGCAGATACATAGCAGTGGTTTTGAGCCTGGCAAAACTTTTTGACTCCTGCCTGCACTAAATATTGATTGTGTCCAGTAGACAATGTCTTCCCAGCTTTAATTTCTTCTATGAAATAGGAGTCATAGGGTGCCTTCCCCAGACCACTGAAGTAAAATAGTGTGTAGAACATGTCAACTATATGTTAGAGGCTTAGTAAATATTGCTTTTTGGGATGGGGGAAGAAAAGTATTTAACTTAGATCTTTGTCTCATTCATTTTTTTACAATATATTCTATAAGTGAGATAATGTATCTTCACCACATTGCACTTTTTTTAAAAATTTAAATGTATTGACACAGAATAAAAATGGTTATCTAAAGTGAGAGGAAAAATAGTTTACATGGCTCTCTTACTAAGTGATCAATGCTTTAATATTGTCAATCGGAGAAAGCAAATATATGCAGAAAATTGAAACAATGTGGTAGAATACATGATCTTCAGTTTTATCTTAATAGAGCAACTTATAGAAATCATTTTGGTCGTTTGTTGGAAGATCAAGGGGTACTAAATATTTGTCTTCAGTGATTCTTCTGTAGCTGACCTGTAAGCTGTAGAGTAGGAGATGCTGTCTGTTATGGGAGACGATACCTTCCCTCAAAATATACACTCAGGAAAATGCTGTTATCCTTGAAAGTTAACATTTTTTCTAAGATGAGTGCTTAATGATAGCAAATTAAATACTTTTGTGTTCCATTTTTAAAAAAGTAATAACCCTTTATCTTTATCTCTATATATGTGTATATATGTTGCAATGAATATATGAACACAGGAAAAGCAGTTAAAAGCATTTATGTGAGGTCATAATTTTGTTGACTTGGGAGTATATTGTTATATGAGAATGGGAGCCAATAACAAAAGGAAATCCATACATTTACGTGAAGTTACATCCTGGAGTATATTTATATTTTTTTTCTTTTAAAAACTGCTAGAAAGAGCCAGACTTCGTGGCGCACACCTGTGTTCTACATACTCTATGAGGCTGAGGCAGGAGTCCAGCTTAGACGGCTTAGTGACTTGGTGAGGTACTGTCTCAAAAATGAAAAATGGAAAAGGGCTAGGGGTGTCACGTGGTGTGAAGGCCCTAGGTTCTATCCCAGTACCTCACGACAGCCACAAAAAACTCAGCACTGTTTACAGAGTAGAATCTATTCTTTGAAAAGATAGATTTCCTTTAATGCTGCAGTTATGTCTTTTAAGCAGTAGTTCCCAGATTTTTTTTCCACAGTGGGCTCTGTTGGACAGAAGGAATCTTATTTGCAAAGTTTAGGATCTGAGAGACTTTGAGATTAGTGAAGTAGAAGGATCAGGCTCTTGATCCTGGGCAGCCACATTCTGAGGCAGAGACATGATCAGGGAACTCAGGATTCCAGGGATCTGGGTATGAAACCATCTGTGGGATAGAAAACCTCAGGGTGTAAGCTATACTTCAACATTAACGACAATAAGAATTCTGGTAAGTGGGATTTACTAATTTGTACTGCAGTCAGTTCCCAGGTTTTCAGCAGTGTCAGTATATGTGTGGCTTCTCATTCAGAGGCATGAGTGATTATTATTTTTTTTAATGCAGCCTTCAGTCTGACTTACATTGCACAGAAGTAGGATTCTGTACACAGTTTTGAAAAATCAGCTTTAAAAAACATCCCACTAAAGTTGTGGCAGCTGTATCATTATTAAGAGCTCTTTAATATTTTTACTGACTGTTTAGTATGACAAATGACTCAAGGAAAAAGAAGGCATCAAAAAATATACATATTACTTGTGTTTACCTTCCACTGTTTTTTGTTGTATGAAAACAGCTGGTCTACATTTATATGGTGAAGTATTTGTTTTAAGAGTTAATTTTTAGTTAATGAGCTTTCATAGGAAAAATAATTTCCAATGCTGAGTATTTGTTAGATTGTTATTAATAGTAGGAGTAGTAATATTACATTGTCTTTTTTTCCATTCATTGAGGGCTTCCTGGTGACAGCTGGAGGGTGGGGGAGGGGAAGTCACTTTCAATCAACCAGCTGCTCTGTGTAGCATCAGTGATGGTGATATTTCAAAGCCGGTGGATAATTTTGGCTGTATTCAGAAAAGAAAATGTATCAGATTTCTGGGATGGAATAGATATGGTGTGCAAGAGCCTTTTGGGATTTAGATGATAGACAACTAACAGGATGTGCATTCAGGTTTGCATGTTGGTGTTATTTACAGCCTAGTTTCTTGGACACTCCTTGCACATCATGATTACAAAGCAGGAAAATGTAGCTCCATGCGGGAAGCGCCTCATTACTGTATGGAGAGGGAGGCTGAATGAAAGACACACATACGTGGTATGCTGTGTGCTTTCCTATGTTATTTCATTTATTCTTCGCAGTGACTTGGAAGTAAGTGGATTTCCCCCCACCCACATCTATGGTAAAGATACAGACGCAGAGCAGGATTGATTATATGATTTGCCCAAGGCCACGTACTAGTAAGTGATGGCATCTAGATTTGACCCGAGATCTTCTGACTTGAGCTCCAGGAATGTTGTCATTACACCAACAGCTGTTTTGCCACAGTGCTAACTTGCTTATACATTTTTAATCCAAAGTCCCAATACTGAGGATACTAATGAATGAAATTTATATTCATATTACAGTTTTATATAAGTAATACGTAAGTGTGCGCATACATGCATATGTGTATATGTATCTATGTGTTGGTAGCTACATATAATTTTGTAGTTTTTCCTTGAGGAAAAAAGACCCTTGGGCAACACTGAAAGAAATTTTGCCACCTTTTCTCATGTTACTTGTACTAGCAATTTTGTAGTTGTGAGTGTTGCAATAATTGGTTGTAACTCTAAAGTTGAACAGAGGTAAAAATACTGTACATCCTGCCAGTGCAGACTCTTCCTTCATACCAATATATTTAAAAAGTCTTTTTTGTCTTTCAAGGCATATTAATTTTATATTAATAAGGCTCTGTTTTAGCTTCCTAAATTCTAGCCTTTAGCTATTATGTCCCTCAAGTAATACCTGGAGATGTACCCTTTTATTTTCCTGAAATGATGCCCTGTTTTGTATGATGACTTTCCAAGAGTTCGTTCATCTTCTCATTGCCTCAGACTAACGCGTGCAGTAGAATTTTCTTTTTCTTTCTTTCTCCACACCCCATATAAGCCTTTGAAGCTTATTTTTGGTGTTTTCTGAACACTCCATGCACCTTTATATACAGTTTTAATACAAGGATTCCTTAACAACCTGCCTGTTTGATGACTGTTCAAACTTACAACTGAGGCACACTGTTTGCATTTATGAACTTTTTTTTGTGCAGTTCTGTACATCTTGTTTTTAGGGCCTCAGTGTGTTTTTCTTTGTAGAGTACACCTTGTTTATACATTACTGTAATATTTGCTGATTGTACTGTACAGTATAGTACTATAGTATTATGTTGCTGTATGTTACAGTACTGTGTGCAAATTATGCAAATAAAAGCAAAGTCATCAAGTTGGAGTTTCCTTGGACCATTTTTTTGTTCTGAATATTGTAATATATATACTATATATATAATTCCTCATTTAGCGACCAATTCATTTAAAAACCTAGTTGCAGGAACAAAACTCAGTTGTTAAACAAGGGATGTCTATATATTTCTTCACATGTTCATGCTGTCTTTGCTTTTTTCTTTGTGGTAGTTTCCAAAAGGGTAGTGCTTCTCTCTTAGTAGATGTCATATGCATAAGGCTTATTGCTGCAGTTTTACACTATTGGGTTTTTTGGCTTGTGACTGGAGAAATGTGATTATCTGTGTCTATAAATGAATTATATGATAGTGAAAGATGATGGTGTACATCTCTATTCAGGGAAGCAGTCAAAACACTTTCATGTTTCTTCCTAACGGCCGTGATATTGAAGAGTTCGAAGAAGTCTCTGATTTTTTTCTTTTTTTTGGTTTGATTGAATGAATGATTGATTATCCTAAAGCTCTGGGAAGAGCCTTTCATGAAGTGACATTTTATCAAATGTGTGTTCTACCCTTATTTTCAGTGGTAAACAAAAGCGGGTAGTTTTAGAACAAACTGTTACGAAAAATCACTTCAGTAATT